ATCACCTGCATTTGCATGTCAAGTTTAGTGATTTCATGTACAGGATACTTGGATGCCTCTATCTCAGTTTTTTGACCTCCCATTTAAATGATATGTCAGTTTTCTGTTCTTCCTACCATTTTCATCTTTTCCCATTTTATACTCTGGCAAATTTTTGTCCGCCCATGTAAGGAATCTGCAATGGGATACAGATTGGTTATGTCCCATTCATAACTAACTTTTCAATCTTTGTCATCAGCAAATTTGTTATCCATTCCTTCAATCCCTTCATACAAGTCATTATGAATTGTAAATAAAGGCTGGGGCAGTGAATTTTGTGACATTTATGATCTTAGACCAGACTGCCAAAGATTTACTAAAGCCTATCTGAGAATCAGTAACTTTTTTTGAGGGTGGTAGTATTTCACATATTTCTTTCTCAAAAAAAAACTCATTAGTAAGATGATTTCCCTGTTCTGAAGCCGTGCTGACTCTGCTTGATTAGATTGATTGGGTTTTTCTCTTCCAAATGTGCCGCTATTATTTTCTGAGTAAATGGAATAAAAATCTGCTGTGGGGAAATGTAGGAACAGGATGAGGCTGATTTAGGCCATTTATTCCCTTGTGCCTGTGATGTCACTCAGTGAGGTTATGATTGAGGGGAAACTATTTGACATTCTATTTTGATTGGCGTGTATATTTCAAAGCGACCTTGGACTCATTTATTCAAGGTGCATTTCTGTTGTCTTTGGCCTGCCCCCCACCAGTTTTATTGATTGCTCTTCTGACTTGCTATGCCTAGTAGTAATCTTTCAATTTTGATTATATATTTGACCTTTCTCTCATTCCCATTGAATGAGTAATGTAACCTTGAATAACAGCTGATTCAAATATTGATTTTGAGCAATAAATTATTTTGAAAATCCTTTTTCTGTATCCCCTTTAAAGAGGGAAGTACTTTGCCTGCTTTTCAATTTTTCCATCAAGACACAAAATTAGTACATTGTCATCTCTACTATCTAGTTAAGCATTAATTTGTTTATTTTAGGCCGTGCATTGTATGAACACCCCCTCTTAGGCAGCATAAGGAGCATGCAGGCACAGAAATTCCATCTGGCAGTGCTAAAACACAGCTGTCTTCCAACTGGGAAATGCGGTTTGTTGTTTCAACCCTTGAGCGGTGAAGCTGGGGGCAAAGACTTCTGTACTCTGTGCTTCCTCAAGTCCAAATTCATCCGAAAGCTGCTGTTTTTCCCTTTTTCCAATATGAAGAGCTACCTAGCTGCACTGCTGAATGGCTGGCACTACTTGCATGATATTAGTCTCTGCTCCTGGGATTCTCTGTACAGTACTTTAGCCGCAGTAGGACTATCTGCATATGTGCACCTGAATGTAATGTTATTATGCCTAGAATGTAGTGACATTGACTGCTGTTGCAGATTAACTTTCCCTTTTTTTGAGGGGACAGTGGGGAAGGTGAGAGATCTTTGCCAGTAACTGATGTCACCAGACCTGTGTGCGCGCACAGATGGCCATTTTCACAGCCATCTTTGCATTCATGCTACCTTTTAATTATTTTTAATAAACTTGCATGAATTTATGTCCTCTTTCTCCCTTATTTAATCATCTGCAGGCTTGCATTGAGGGTATACTTTAAATATAGCTGCTTGTAGCCTCAGGTACCTTACTTAGATGGAGAATGAATGCGTATGAGCTTCCCCAGTGAAGGCAAGTTCTTGCACCCAATATTGATATCATCCTTATCTGAGATTCTCACACAGCCAGTTGCCTGTGCATAACATATTGAGGATTTCTCCTTCAATGTGTGGCACACTGGTAGTAATTGTATCTGTTCAGACATATCAGTTGAGTTTAGGGAACGTTGAAACCTTCTCTAGATAGCAAATGCTATGACAATAAGCAATGTTTAATTACTAAACTGTAAGGAACATTCAAAGCTAGGTTTTCTTAGTGCAACAAATTGGACGTAGGCTTCCAGACTTCTAAAAATGTCACAATAAATCTTTCTATCTTGCCTTTTTGACCATTAGGACTGCAAAAGGTTAGTTCCCTAAATAGTGTAGTTCACTTACTTATTGGATCAACAGATCAGAAGTTGAATGTTTGATCATTTGTCTAGCCTAAATGTATTTTGCAGTTGATTCAGTGCCCATGGGTTGCAGAGTGGTGAGAGAAGGGACGGATATGCTGCACACTGATCAGTATCCCCATTTTGACTGTTTGTTTGTCAGCAACTGCTGGAACCTGCACGTGGGTCTAATCCAAGGAAGTATTCGGCTTATTCAATCTCACCATTCATGAGACCTAGAAAAAAATTTTAAAATGCTGCTTTACATTAAAAAGGGAAATTTAAATAAAGAAAATCACAATCTTTCAGTGATTAAGTGTGCATTTCTGTTACAGAAACTGAGTATATATGGAGACATGGAATTTATGAATGAATTGAAGCTAACTCCATATCCAGCATCTTCATTGATTGTGATCAAATCCAAGGATGAAAAGGACATGACAGGACCCGTACCTACTAAAGTGAACCTGGACCACTCGACAATTTAGATAATCTGGATGAAATTTGGACTGTCCTTGTGTTCTGAAATTTAAGTGGTAGTTTTTGCCAAATGTCTGGTTGAGGTGAAATTTCAAAATTAAGATAAATATTGTTATTGTTACATTCCTGGGTGCAAACAATAATTGGAACTTTAGGGTGATATAGAGCTGTTTTATTAAAGGGGCCTTGACCTATAAATAGCTCTTAGTGTTGCACAACACACCTGTCTGCATGTTTGAAAACTTGTTAGCAGCTGACCCTCTTTGATCGCACTGGTTGTTCCTTTGTACAGATTAAATGTCATTGCTTGTAACGTTTCTTATGATGTTATTTCTACAATCCGAATGGATATTTAACTCGTGTTTTAATCAATTTATGACCTAATGTATTGACATCTTTTTCTCTACCTGCATCATGGCATATCTTGCTCTTGGTTACATGAAACAGTTCTGTGCACATTTATGTAAATATTGAGCCACAGTAACCTCAGAACACCATTTAAGTTTTCATTTCTCAGTAACTCATTGATAATAAACCTCGTGGCTGTTTTGCATCTCAGCTGTGTTTTCTTTTAGTGCATTTCCTTTTTTTTTCTTCCAAGTTAAACATTTTTGCTTTGATTTGTTGTAAAACCTTTATAATCACACTCTAGTATTGTTTGTAGTTTTGATCCAAATGTAATTTCCTCATGGGTTTTGTGGACAAGATTTTTTTTTTGTTCAAGGAATTATAAAATAAATATTGGTTTGATCACCTCAAGTGTTGCAATGCTGCTTATTCTACTTTTAAAAATGTGAAACGCTTGGACATATGTCCCAATGAAAATCAAGTTTGTTGAGTTTGCAGATCTCTATTGTTTGCACTAATACAGTGTGATCTGTAGGATGTTGAAGAGTAGTGTACTCAACGGAGGATTGGATATAATGGGATAAGGGTAGATCATTTGGCTGCTATTCAATAGATCAGGTTGAACCAATTCTATTGGCAAATTTGCTGCCTCAGATGAATGGATAGAGCTGATGTGCTACCTCAGAATTCTGTGATGGTATCTGAATAATTAGCTATAGAAAATTATCTTCAGTAGTACATATGCTGTCTAGAAAATACTTTTAATAGCATATTAAGGAGCAAGATGCTTCTAAAAGTATTTAGAAACAAACTCTTTCTAACCCTTTCTAAATTGATTGTTAAACTTGGTAATTAATTGCATGTCATTGCCTAATCACTTATCCTCCAATTTCTCTGGAAAAGTATTGAAGAATTTGCATCTCCTCTTCATCTCTATGTTTATAGTGATCAGGTTATTTTAACCATAATGTCCTTTTAATACGTTACTAGTTCTGAATCCCCTTATTTAAAATATTCAGCTTTAACTTTAGCAAATACTTGAATATACCAGTGTTTTGGCTACATTGTTGAAGTAACTTGTTTGTATCTTAAACTTTTCACTGCCTGATTGCCCAAAATTATAACGATAGTACATCCTTCCAATATGAATTGGATACTCTAAGTGTCTATTGTGCATGCACTTTTCTAAACCCTTTGAAAATAGCCGAAGAAGACACTTCGAATGATTTACTTCATAGGTGAGTATAGTTATTAACCCATTTAACCAATACAATCCTTTTGCACAACAAGCATGCTATGACAACTTACATCACTGATCTAACTTGTTTTAAAATTTGATCTGTTCTCTTGCATTCTAATCTTATTTTCACAGCATTGAATTGGTTTTGTTACTTGATTGTTTCCATTTTAAAAAATACATGAAAATTTAAGGCATCTGTCTATCTACAGAGAAATGTTTTTGTATTTGTAGATGTGTCTTCAACTTCAAGGACATTTAAATAGCTGAGATAACTATTGTGCATGGATTATATGATGGAACTCCATGCTGGTCAACCATTTTTGGCGATTATTGTAAGAGTTGAAAAGAAAGTAAGTTTGTTATTAAAGTACTTTAGAATTGCAGTCGCTGATAATATAGAAAGCACGCTCAATTTGCTGTTTACCAGAACCTGCTATCCACAATGTGAGAATGACCAGATGTTTGTTTTTTGGTGGTGATGGTTAAAGCAATATTTATTTCTTAACCAAAGGAGATAATGCTCTTGCTCCTCCTCCAAATAGCATTGTGGGTTCTTTCTTCATTTGAGAAACCAAATAAGTCAAATGAAATGTAGGGGAAATTTAGATCTTTTTATTAAGAAAAATTAACTTCAATATGTTTTTGTTTTCAGAATTTTTCAGCTCCTATCTTATCATTCTTTTTAAATCTAGGTAGTTCCATTTCTATTATACTTTGGAGCATTGTTGGCAGATGTTGGAGGCTCATGATTTATGTGCTGGTGCACTGAACAACATTTACAATATTGACTTTGGTGAAGTCTTGGCACAAACTACATCCATCTACTTTATTTATCTATGTTTTACTTAGTAACTAAGTAACAGATTAGCATTGAAAGAACTGACATCACTGGATCATTTTATGCAGAACAAAATCTTTCCAGAAATAAAGACTCTGGTTGCGCAGCAGAAACTGGCAAGAATGAAATTTAATAAGACGTACCCAGAAAATATCAGCGTGGTATGGAAGAGAATTGACACTTTTTTTTAATATTACAAAGTTCAATGGAGGATAGTACACACTTTACTAATGTTACTTTTTTGGTTTTCCATTCCATCAACATATAGCAAAGTTTTGACGCTGCTGCTTCTGGTTCACTTTCCATGACATCCAACAACAGCAAGAAAGGTAAATGTGGGGAATGGGAAGTGTGGGCTGCTCCAATTTTTGTTGCACTGTGTAATTTGTTGAAGGATGGATTTTGTAGGAGGATGTGAAATGATTTTGTTTTCCCTTCACCTTCCCACCAGATTATTGGGATTGCAGTCAGAGTTACCCATCTTATTGCTGGTGTTCCAAGCAATACTACTGGATCTCTATTATTGTGATGCTGTTACTGGGAGTTACTGTTGCTGCTCTGGCATGTGCTGTAATCTTTGGCATCCCGAAAAATACTCCAGGTTAGATTCATGAGATTTGGCTTTCCAATTTGTGTCCATATCAGTTGTCTGGGGATTAAGCAATATTAAAAATTGTAGATTTTTTTTTAAATTGAGAGTTGTATCCATAACCATGTTGTGTTTAACTATATCCATGTGGTCTCTTAACTGACACAAAGAAGTCCCTTCTCACAGTACTGGCTATATCCTGTTTTGGCATGGTGAGTTTCTGGTGATGACACCTGTGTTTTATTAATATGTTGCCCTTTCTTGAATGTTGTTCTTTGTATTTGAATCCAGCAGGAATGTAAATTAGCCTAAATAGGATAAACTACAACAGCAGGGCACACCTTTTGTAATTTCAATTGAGTGCTGCTCATAGGAATTGTGCGCCAAGGGCTAATCAAAGGAAATTTGAAAACCTAAGGTCAAGACTATTAAATCAATCAGTTGAAGGACTCATTTCCTGGAAATCGCACTTTTCTTTATGATGCTGAAAAATGCCATGTTCCATTTGCAAATTAATAATTGATTACACTGTTTGTACTGATTCAAAAGATTTTGCTTTCAGGCTATGTTAACTTGTATGAAAACCTGAATGTAATTTATAATCTCAAACCAGAACCCCAAGTCTGATTGTGATCCAATTAGGAATCTGTAGCGTTTTATTTAAAAATGGAAGGAAGTTGAAATTTTGGGTACTTTGGTAAGAAAATAAAGCCTTTAGATTCTACTAGTTTAAACAACCGATATGAATTGTAAGTAAAATCTACAGTATGTGCCTTTTTATTCTGGCATCCAGAATAAACACAGTAAACATGAATTAACAGGCAAATTGATGTGAAGGACACACCATTTTGGCATATTAAATGGCAGACGTAACCAAGCCAGATCTCATGGATTTCTTAACAAGGTTCTCTCAATCTCATGAACATTCTCCCTCACAAGTAACTTCAACTCTTTCAAAGATTAATCCTTTGATTTTCCTCAAAAACCACTCTCAGTCTCAGATTGCTCACTTCCTGATGGCTTCAGCCAATCCCTTGGCACAATTCCCTCCCTCTTCCTTGGATAACCAGATTTCTTAAACCAGGGCTGCCCCAGTTTTCTTCAAACTCCAATTTCCTGGCTGCACTAAGCTGTAATTGGCTCTCTGGGCTGCTTCTGAGCTCTAACCTTCAGCATAAAAAGTGACCTTCTGAGGCCTTTAGAGCTTCTCATGGTTTTTGAGTCAACTTGTGCTGCCTAGAGCTTCTGTTCTGCTTCCCCTGGGCTGGGTAGGGGAGATGGAAGAGATGGGGAGGAGGCCTCAATTGAAGGGAAGCTTTTAAAAATCTAAAGTAAATGGAGTAAAAGTGCGATAGATTAATAGTCTAACAGGAAAGAAAATATGAGGAGTACAGCAGAAATTGGAGTCAGGGGAAGGTCATGGTAAACAAAGTTCAAGGTTCTTTTAAAATGCTGTGTGCAGGAAAAGTGGTGGTTGGAGGATCAAACAGTGCTAAAACTCAATATAACTCTTCCAGACAGATTTTGTATAGCTGCAAACAATCAGTCAGGATTCCTGTGTGATGACCGTGTCACCTGTTTGCAATCATCTCAAGTTTGCCACAGGATCGAGGATTGTTTGGAGAGTGCTCATGAACCTGCAATGTGCAGTAGGTATTGCTATGATAGATTTCCTTTTGCATTTAATTTCCTTTTAAGTGGCTTTAAGCTGATGCCCCACTCTTTCACCAGGTGATGTGCCACACAATCTACCAAGCTATCTTGTGTTTACATGTGGCAATCCTAATTCATGGATTTACACTGATCAAGTGTGTAATGGATTTAACAACTGTGGAGATTGCTCAGATGAATCAGGACCATGTGAGCATTAATCCTTAGAATCTAAAATCAATAACAGACTTTTTCATTGCTTTATCCAACCTAGGGTTTTTAAGTGTTTTGAGTTTGTTGCAATATTTTGAGAAAGTGGTTATACAATATTTCTGGCACGTTAAAATCTCCCTTATATCGCCAGTTCCACACGGTTGGAAAGGGACAACATCTGCAGATATCATGATCCACTGTTTGAGGTCACTGCACTTTTGCTGGGGAAGGTATATGTAGAATATGACAATAAGATCCTTAGTTAGATTGAGTGACTGAACCTACTCGCAGCTAGAGAATGTATTTGCTTCTGCTCATCGTGCCCTTGGGGTGCTGCATCTGGAGCTGCTAGTTGGTTGTCAGTCTGGAATGTGTGGAGAAAGCACTGTTGCCTCAACTACAATCCAATACAGAAAAGAAGCCATGTATTTGGGATGGGGGTAGGGAGGTTAAGGAGAAGAAGAACTTTTCCTCTTCCTTTTTTTAAGGAAAAAAAAACATCACCCACCTGACATCCCCTGTCAGTGTAAGGGTGGTGTGAAAGCATGAGTGTCTTCACTTTGAGTTTGCGACTATCTCCAATTAAGGGTAGGACAGCTCTTATGGGATATCTAACCATACTATGGATATTGAATAGTTTGGACAATCAGAAATATTCAATATTGTTAATAGTTCTCAAACATAGCATCTTTTTCTAGCCTTAAATGTCACATCACTATCTGCATTATATTCTCTACATTAAGTAAAATTTAAATATGGATGATGTCAAACTATTACTACATTGTTGGATCAAATTTTAATTTCAGTGTCCAACTGTCTTCCATGTGGGCCACAGTATTGGAGCTGCAAGTCTGTTGTTTCTCAGTACTGTAACTGCATTCCGAGAGAGCTGTGCAGAGATGATGCACAACACTGTGTGGATTGGTCAGATGAGTACATCTGTCCTGCAAACTAATACCAGAAGTGGGAAGGAGTAACATAACACCTAAGGATAATGACAGCCTGAGTAACATAATCCCATATTACTTCACTTAACCAGGACAGCGGATTTCTGTTTTGTGGCTCTACAAAATCCATCTTTTGACCTGCAAATAGCTTTGGAAATTGCAGCATCTCACTGCATACACTGTTTTAAGCTGTTACAAACTCAAACTTACAAAGATGCAAGTGTCCATCCTATTGGCTTGTGAAAAGGTTGTTCAGTATTTTTGTCTATTAAAATGCTATCCATGTTCAAAAACTCCAGTGTAACAAGAATCAATGTTAATTAAACTGTATTGGTTGTTGCCATTGTTATTTTTCTCTTTGTTGCTATATTTAAATTGCATGTTCTGTGCTTGCTGCTCTTTTGTATTGTCAAACTCACTTGAAGTAAATTTTCATTCCATATCTTTTGATGGGAAAGTGCTTCTTTTAGGAAAAAAAACTTGAGCTTTCTATATGAGTTTGAGATTATAATTCTGCAGAGTTGGAGGAGTTAATCCTGAAAAATTCCTTGAGGTAGACATTTAAAATACTGACACAAGCCTCCAGGCCTGGCCAGCTTAAGGGCTCAACTCCCAACACAGACATTTCCCTGTTAGGGAGAGAAGACTGAGATTGCTTCCAGTCCATATAAGACAGCTGAGAAACTAGCTGTGCAGATTAAGCCCTAATTTAGCCAAGTCACAGGCTATTGTTTACCCTGCATTTGTACCACCAGAGTCAGATGTTCCACACATTTTCTTGGGGGACAATATTCAATGTCCAGCCCAGACTGACCTGAGTAGGGACAACAGTAAGCTTCAGTGCACCTTTGCTGCTTTTAACCTTGACCTCAGTACAATGCCTGCAATTTAAAAGTATGGAAGTAAACAGCTCTTTAGTCCATTTGTGTCTGAGCCGGCTCCTTTAAATAGAAATGCATTTTAAAAAGTTTGTTTTCATCCTGCCCTCTTGAGAGTTACATCTGTGTCCTTGATTACTGACCCTTCTGGCATTGGAAACTCTCAAAGTTCTTTGTAGTTTTGAACATTTGTCAAGTTTCTCCTTTTCACCTGCTGTCCAAAAGAAAAATTTAAACTAGGTGGGTCTGGGATTCCAATGGCCCAGGATCCCTTGCAGTGGCTTTGACTTTCTTGGGTCTACAGTTCCCTGCATTCCAGCACTTAAAGCTCATTATTTGTAAAACACTGGAAGTATCAAGGCAGTTCTATCTTTGTTTCTTCAGCTTTCAGCTGGGTCACTTAGTCATAGAGCTATACAGCATGGAAACAGACTCTTTGATCCAACTTGTCCATGCCAACCCAGATTTCCTAAATTAATTAGTTCCATTTGGCCCATATCTCTTAACCCTTTCTATTCATATGTCCAGGAAGATGCCTTTTAAATGTTGTAATTTACCAGCCTCCACCATTTCCTGTGCCAGATTGTTCCATACACGCACCACCCTCTGTGTGGAAGTTGCCCCTTGGGTCCCTTAAATCTTTCCCTCTCACCTTAGACCTACGCCTGCTAGTTCTCTATGCCTCCCCACGCCAGTGAAAAGCCTTTGGTTATTCACCCTATTCATGCCTCATGATTTTATAAACCTCAAAAGGGTCATCCCTCACTGTCTGACGCTGTAGGGAAAATAGCCCGAGTCTATTCAACCTCTCCCTATAGCTCAAACCCTCCAACCCTGGCAACATACTTAAATCTTTTCTGAACCCTTTAAAGTTTCACAACATCCTCCCTATCGCAGGGAGGTCAGAATTGAACACCGTATTCCAAAAGTGGCCTAACCAATGTCCCGTACACCACAACATGACTTCTCAAACTCCTATACACAATGCAACAACTAATAAAGGCAAGCATACCAAATGCCGCCTTCACTACCCTGTCTACCTGTGACTCTGCTTTCAAGGAACTATGAACCTGCACTCCAAGGTGTCTGTAGTTAGCAACACTCCCCAGGGACCTTATCATTAAGTATATAAGTCCTGCCCTTGTAGAAAGCAAATAACTGTTTGTGGGCCTTCAGTCCCAGATCTCTGCTCTACTGAACTATTAATTGCACGCTGGCTTCTTTTGTACCCTTTGCAGCTCCTCTGAATTCCCTGGACCCTGACTACATAATTATTCTACTACACTATGACTTCCTTGAGCACCAGCCATCGAACCTGATAATGGAGCTAACAACAGCCTGCTTTTCTTCCTCTTGCAATAGGTCCTGCTCCAGTGCCAGGTAGAACTAAATGTAATATTTTGGAAGTCAAATTAGGTTGTCCAAAGTGTCTGTACCTCCTTAATATACAAACATTGTTACTACACCAGTTTTGCTTGGTTAACTTTCAATGAACTCTGACAAGGCAGAATGAACTTCGGTTCACTCGGTTTCTTAATAATAATATTGTGAAGACTACCATGACCGAGATCCAATTCCTCTGTTCCCCCATCTTGCCTCTGTCTGCAGAAGGTGTAAAAACTCAATGGGCACGTCCTTTACCGACCGCTGCTAGACTTCTCAGGAGATTATTTATACAGAATGAAAATTTAAATGTAAGAGCTGCAGCCAGAGATTAAAGAAAGAATAGTAATTGAGGTACTGTCAGGAAATCTCATGATCTAAAAATATTTATTACATGATTCCAATTTATTATCCAACTCAAAGTGCAGTTAAATGTAGAAGTTAAGATGAGAAACAGTACAAAATAACACAATACTTTTCATCGTAGACAAAGGCTGAATGTTAATCTTTAATTATGTTGTGATTCAACCATCCTAGCCTCATTAACCAGGGAATCATCTTAATTGTTCCTCAGTAACAGTTCAAGATATCCCAGTCATTCAAGCTCAGCTCAGTATGCTTACGTTTCACAGGAAGGGAAGGACACCCAGTCACTTCAGTTTGTCCACTACTTCTCTTAGTAATCCCTAAAGCAGAAGTTACAGTGGACTGCACATGGTGATCCTTACTGGTTTTTCTGTGAAACTGCATTCTGATTGGTTCGTTGATTTGCACAGTATTTGAAAGTCCATCAGTTCCTACGTTAATCAGCTTGTTTATTCCATCTACAAAATAAATGAAATTATGACATAATCAAAGCATAATGAGAATTGAAAGTTACTTTACAAATAAAATGGATAATGTGACCGCAATAGAAGATGGAGGAGTCAGTAAAATAATTATTTTTGCTGGAAATGGCAGTGGAGAGGAAAACAAAACAGATTAACTTGAATTCCTATATTCGATTGCCACAGATCATACATCAATGGGAGTTGTATTTGGATAGAGTTCCCATTCACAGTCATAGCCTATGTTGAAATCTGAACAATGGATTGAGCTCTCAGAAGATGGAAAGTACCTGTAAAAAAAAGTGTTTCTCAACAAGAAGTCATCCCTTCGGGACACAGAATAAGTTGATTGGCAGATGCGCTGAATACAACAAATATGGATGTGAGACAGAGACTAATAATTAACTGACTTTCAGCACAAAGCTGACAGTTCACATTGGGGATTCAGGATTAGAGGCTGATGCTCTTTATTCATGTAACCTTCCATCTTCAAAAACTGCAAAAAATTGTACAAGGTGCCTTGAACTTCATTAGCATAGTGCGCATGCAAAGCCATGTGTCAATTTCTACTAATGCATCAACTAAAACACAAACTAAGACCAGGATTTCAACATCATTTACAAAGAAATTCTTAGAAAAACTGTGGAGTAACATTACAAAAATTGGAGACTATATTAAGAGGGCAATCAGCATGGATTCAGGAAATGGAGGTTATGTTTAGCTAAACTGGAGCTTTTTGAACACATTACTGACAATAAAAATTTATTTTCATATGGCCTCTCAAAGACTGAGAAAATTTCATCAATCAATTAATGATCCATGGCAGGCACTGTATAGTAAAAGGTAAGATGTCATGGGTGATGTGCTACAGGGATCAGTGCTGGTCCTCAATATTTTACACTTTTTATAAATTACTTGGATGAGGGAATCAAACTTATAGTTGCTCAATTTGCTGACTTGAGTTATGTGAGTGGTCAAAGATCTGGCAAATAGAGTAAAATTCCTCCAGCAATATTAGGCAATTGAGGGACTTGTGAAACTGAAGAATTAAAATAAATTAGTATCAATAAAAAGGTGGTTATTGAAAAATTAACAAGTTTGAAGGTTCACAATCCATTTGGGTGCAGCTCCTTTGGTCCAGAACGTTGAAGGAGATGGCTATAGGAATAATGGATACATTGGTGACTATCTTTCCAAGTTGTATAGATCTGGAAAGATTCCTGCAGATTGGAAACCAGGAAATAGAACCTGTTTGTTTCATAAGGGTCAGGAGGAGGGGGAGATAAGGGTCAGGAGGAGGGGGAGA